CTGTAAGGCTCATTTAGATTATTATTTTAAGTTTAATTTTCAGTTTCTTCGGTTATAACTGCATTGTTGCTCACCATTAATATAAATAGATAATGTAATACATACATCATTATAGAGATTTAAATTCAAATATTTTTTTAGCCATTTAGCGACAGGATCATACTTTAATAACATAAGGGCTGACATAAATTTTGACATAATACATACGTACCAAATTTTTGTGGTTTTACTCATCACATCAACTTTAAAATCAACAATTTCTACTCGTATACATCACAATTTTTAGCGTTCATGTTAAAAATATTATATTGAAGGAGTTTTATTCTTAGCCAATATTGGTAAAGTAGCTTTATCAATATCGGGCGAATTATGGTTTTCGTCCCCGAAAAATTCAAATAATTGTGCAAATCTGGAAAAGAAATAAACAAAGGGTTCTCATTCGACCAGTCGCAGTAAGGCTCGAATTTCATAAAATGCACCCGCGCTTGACTTGATCTTTTGAAGATCATATGCTAAACATTCGGCTGTAATTCTCACATATTATTCTAAATAAAATCTATGAAAAACCCTCTTCTTGTCGGTCGCCATAGTCAATCGGCAAACCATGTGTCCCTTATTATTTCTACGCATTTATGATCCCCGCAATCTCTTCATATCTCAATATCTAAATCATACCATAATTACATTGTAACCCCCTAATAAACTGTCTTGATTACACATCTTGTAACCATTGGCGGCTCACCGTCAACAAAATGAAAATGCATAAATTATTAATAATGAGTAAAAATAATAATGTTGATTTAGAAACCAATAACAAATAAAATAAACCACAATCAACCACTTATAAACAATGAAAGTTGATATATTTATCATAAAAAATTATAAATATATAAATAAAAAAGAATTTTTTGATGTACTACCTAGAACTGCAAACGAGTCGAGACGAGCGCTCGAATCGATGCTTGAATCAAGCTCAATGCTTGACTTGAGCTCGGTCAAACCGGAACTCCTGTCGAGCTCGAGCAGTTTCATCGAACAAACAAGTTGAGCATCGAGCATCATTTCAAGAGACTCGTAAGCTCGACGAGCCGCTCGACTTATTATTTATATAAATACCCCATGTAGTTTAATTATCATATTAGAAGACCAAGACCATAATTGTCTATTTAGATTAAAAATAGTACCTTTATATTTAAAACTTTGTTGCAGGGAATGCTTGGATATAAAATTTTTTAGATTTGTTTACTTTTGAAAAATGTGGTATGGTTACTTGTTAGTGAGTATATTAAAATAATATTTAAAATGTAATAATTAAATTTGATTTGATGTAAAAGTATGAGAAAGATGATTTGAGGTGATCATTAGTTAAAATTATGTGAGTGGATGAATAGTGAATTAAAGTTGATGTCGTGCGTAAGAATGATTGATTGATATTATTTAATTATATNTCTAGATCCCAAACGGGATAATTACACTAACAAAGGGAAAAAAAAAACACAGAAAAACACAATCACAACACAAAACACAAACCCAAAAAACACAAAAAATAAAGAAGAGCCCTTCCCACGAACGGGCTAACACACCGGCCGAAACCCAACGGCAACACCGTTGTTTGGATTTTTTGTGTGGGGTTGAGTTAAAAAAAGTGATCGAGTTAAAATTGTTTGGATTTTTTTGAAAAAAATTTGTATCCAAGCATCCTCTAAAATTTTGAGCCGAGCTCGAGTCATACCGAGCATCGAGTCGAGCTCGAGTATTCTTATTTTTTTTCACGAGTTGAGTCGAACAATATTTTATATGGCTCGTCGAGTTCGAACTCGAGCAGTGAAGAAAAAGGTTCGTCGACAAAGTCCATACTCGACTCGACTAGACTCTTTTGCAATCTACCGCCAAACATGTATAATGGGGACACTGGAGAATAGAAATTCTATGCAGCCATCGGATGGTTTTTTTATGAAGTCATCCATCACTTAATGTATTGACACTTGTCCAAAGTGTATTTATTGTAGGACACGTGTCAATACATTATTTGTCGTGTCATCCGATGACTCCATAACAAAACTGGACTAGAGAGGATAATGAAAAAGTATTTTGAGAGAAACCAAACAATGGCATTGTTTGGTAATTAGCGGTTAGCTGATAGCTGTTAGCTGATTGCATTAGCTGTTTTGACCAGCGGATTGTGTTAGCTGTTTTGACCAGATGATTGTGTTAGCGGTTTATAGAAGAGTGTTTGGTAAAATTAGCTGTTAACATGTAAAATTACTTATAAGAACATCAACATAATTTATCATTCTTATTTATGTTGAACATATAATTATTTAGGAAATAAAAATAATTAATATTTAAATATTTATTAAAGTGATTTAAAATATAATAAAATATAAGTAATAATAAAAAATATATTTCTTAACTGAGTAAATAATTTCACCTCATATAAACAAACCTAATAACAAGTCATCGTTATTTAAAATAAATAAATAAGTAATATCCAAGTAACTAAAATTTATATTAAAAATTTCTAAAAAGTTCTCATTTACATCTAAGTAACTAAAATTATATATGTTTAAAATTTTATAAAATAGTTGGTAAAATTAGTTTTTAAGTATTATACTTGAATTAGTTGGAATGACATTTATAAATATTTTTCTTATGTTCATTAATTATAGTTTTGAAAAAATAAATATTATTTATATTTTTAAATGTGAAAATTGTGATATATATTTTATTGCTATAGGTTTAGATAAAAAGTACGAGCAGTGCACAAGTTTTGATTAAAATGACTTTTTCTATAATTGTGAGATTGAAGAGAATGTTGTCTAGTTTATGTCCGTGTGGTATAAGTGAGGGCAATTAAGACTTGTATTTTTTTTTTTCTTGAACCGCCAACATCAAACGCTGGCAAAAGCAGCGTTTCCCACATTAGCTAATTGGGTCAAAAAAGCTAATTGTAAAAATTGTTTACTAAACATATTTTTTAGTTGATTGTACAAAGTCAAACAGATGAAAAAGCTATTTTTTTGTCAAAAAGCCATTAAACAATCGCAACCAATATAATTTTTGAGTTATTTTTTTGTCCACAAGTTCGATATAGCGAATATTCAAAATTCCAAAATTACAACCAAAGGCCAAAGCCATTTCCAATTGAGGAAATTTGTGGAATAACGATTTCCACAGCAATAATTGATATTGTTATCCAACACAGTTTCCTGCATTCGAATGTTGATCAGTTTGTGAAATAAGAAATCTCTTAATCGGACGTACAAAAGACAGATTTTTCTACATGGGCTGCTGTTCACACTGCTTTTGTTGACTTGCATGTGTAAGTCTTCTCCTTAAAGCTTTCAACTATATCTTTGTTTTAGCTTGGAGCCCTTTTAGACTGTCGTGTGGTACTGTGTTGGGTGAGGATTTTTTACAATAATTTTGCTTAAAATTCAAAATTTTTTGATTTCAGTTGTTCTTGTCTGAATCGAGTGTGTTTGAGAAAAGTTTTTGTATCCGATAGTGTAATTTCCTTTCGCATCAGACGCTGCTTGGGGGTCTTGTTTTTCTGGGTTCAAAGGGTTTTAGGAATCTCCTAATTTCGTTGACTTTTTTTAAGATCAAAACAAGCATATTCATTCCGTTTATCGGTAATATTGTTTGTTGGTGGGTGCAATTTCTGTTCTATCTGCTTCAACTATGATTATCTGCTTTTTTTGATTGTTCGTCCCCTGTCTAATTTCACCACTTTGAACTAATTTTTTGTTTTTACGTCTATGGTTTGGGGTTTTTAGAAAACTCTAGTTGGACGTGTTTTTAACACTAGTTTTGTGTTTGATAGGGCAAAAATTTGGTTAAAAAATAGTGTTTGATCGCGCACGTGTGTGTGTCCCAGTTGTTTGTTTAATTTCCTTAGTGAATTTTCTTTTTAAATCGACTTATTAACGAGTTATTTAGGTGATTGATATGGAAAGTTTCGCAAAAAGCTGTTGTTTTTTCTTGGTGGGTATGACTAGGAAAAGTGAAAATTTCATGAAGTTGTATTTAGCTTAAAGTGGTAACTGCGTTATATCATATATGACATGTGTGGCTCTTACAAATTCTCTGAAGTATGATCTTATATCACTGAACCGGATTGCTGTCTTTCACTTTTTATGTAATTGCACATGATGTTCTGAAAATCCCTTGCTTGAAATGATTATTGATTTTCCAAATTCCACCATAACCCTTTGAGCAGATGTAACAAACACCAAATCAGTGCAAAAACAGAAAATGGTTCATTCTTCAAAGCACCCTTTGCATTACACTGCATTCCTCCTCTTGCTATTCACACTCCAAGGCTCCCAAGCCAGCCATCAAAGCAAAAATGGGCTGAAAACCAAAATCTTCCTCTCGCCCAAATTCGTATTACAACCCGGATCTGTTTCAAACAAATTCTTCTACAACATCGATTTCCCCAGAGGCCACATTGCCCTCAAGAGCTTCGATGCAGAGGTAGTTGACGAGAAAGGGAACTCGATCCCACTCCACGAAACCTATCTTCATCACTGGCTACTCGTAAGGTACATTCAAAGAAAAGGCTTAATCCAAAACCCCGAAAATCCCGATTACGTCATAGTGAAAAACGAAGGGCTGTGTAATCATGGGCTTATCCAGTATTTTGGGCTCGGGTCCGAGACTCGAAAAACGGACACTCACGTGCCTGATCCGTACGGGATTGAGGTGGGAAATCCGGCTTTTGTTCCGGAAGGTTCTGAGGAGCTGTGGATGCTAAATGTGCATGCAATCGATACGCGTGGCGCGGAGGATGGGCCGGGTTGTACCGAGTGCAGGTGTGAGTTGTACAATTTGACGGTGGAAGGGTATGGAGGTCATCCGTATAAAGGTGGCTTGAGATGCTGTGGTGATGGGAAAAGGTGTAGAGTGAAGGAAGGGTTTGAGGATGTCGAGAGGAGTCTGTATTTGAGGTATAAGGTGACGTATGTCGATTGGGATGCCTCGGTTTTGCCGGTTAAAATCTATATAATTGATGTGACTGATCTGTGGAAAAGCGAGGATGGTGACCACAGAGAAAAACACCGTTGCCTGGTATTTTTTATTTTTTTATTTTTTTTTCGAATTTTCTTTTCGGTTTTAAATCGATTCTTTTGCTGCTACTTTGTGTAATTAACAAAAAGTGTTAAAATTTCCCCACATAATCCTAGTTAATGTTAGTTTGAAAACAATACAAAGTCGTAAGTACATTTATTAGATGGATTATTAGGTTTCCATATCGGAACTTTCTGTAAATTGAAGGGAGAAAGGCACTTATGGTTGTAGAAAGAGTAAGACCAAAGATTGAAAATTATAATTAGCTATTTCTTCTGTATTGTTTAGTTTTTACTCTCTTTTGTCCTGTAACTCTTTTGAGGTACTTTAATGTAGGTTGAGTACGATGTCGAGTCTTGTCCTGTTGGTGTGGCCAATGATAGATGCACACATACCAAAACCCTAAAGGTCAGTTTGCCAACTGGTGGAGATGTTATTTATGGGGTTGGGCACCAGCATAAAGGCGGGGTTGGCACAACTCTTTATGGCGAGGTATCAAATGCATTTTATCTCAATTTTTCTTCTCTTTTCATGAAATTTTCAAGTATGAACCGACTATTTCACATCAACCACCAAATAGGGTCCTGTTTCTTGCATATGTCCGTGTTCACTTTCTCAAAGTTCAAATCTTTTGTTCAGTGGATAAATGTCAGGTTGCATTGAGGTGCCGACACATCTTTTTTTTTTGTGTGTGTGTGTGTGTGTTTTGAGCATTATAGATACCTTTTTTTGTGCAATAGCACTGCAAAGTGCTCATTGTGAGAGTTGTTCTATTCTGTATTAGTAAGCGAAGTATATCATAATTCTCCACATAATGCACTGTTGTTTGTTTGGTGTGAACTATTTCGTTTGTGGTGATAAGCCTGTTGATTTCTTTTTTTGAGTTTTTGTCCGGCTGTCTTATTCAAAAAGGATTCGTAATTTCGTATATCCAAGTTCTGGACAATATTCTTGTTTACTTTGAGGCCTTTTTACCTGCCGAGAACTTAGCTTGAAATTGCAGCGAAACCGTTTAGATAAGCAAACTCTAAACAAATTTTCACCAATAATTAATATCCGAGAGGCTCATCATCTTCATCGTTCGGCACTTATTTAATGAAGTTGAAATTATCCAGGGAGGAAGAGAAATATGCTCGTCCATTCCAACTTATGGGACGGGACACGAACCTGGTAACGAGGCCGGCTACATTGTGGGCATGTCCACCTGTTATCCTAAGCCTGGCTCGGTCAAAATTTCTGCTGGGGAGTTTTTGACGCTCGTTTCTAATTACAGCAGTGAAAAAGCCCATACAGGAGTTATGGGTCTATTTTACCTCTTGATTCATGAAAACTCGTCCGAACCAAATGCAGTCTTACATTCTCCAGCTAAAGTAAGACTCCTCTGCTCTCCTATTTTTTTCGTTTGACTAAATTGTAATTTTAGTCCTGTATGTTTGACTACCAGTACTTTTTCGTCCCCTTCGAATTGCCTTTTTGTTTTTCGTCCCTCATGTTTGCAAAATAGTTGCAAAAAGGTCCCCGAGCATACATAAGGGACGAAACTGGAACCTTTTTTTCAAAACGTAAGTGATCTTTTTGTTGCGAAAAAGGACTTTTTTGTAACCATTCTACAAACATAAGGGACGAAAAACAAAAAAAGAAAAAAAAACAATTCGAAGAGGACGAAAAAGTTCGGGTAGTGAAACAGTGCAATTTACCGAGATAATATTTTATTATTTTCTGCATTTTGGGAAATGGTAATTGTCGTGAGCTGACTCGGCCATTCTCCAATCTGTTGTCATGTGCAGGCACAAGAAATTACGACAATATCCAAAATCCGTTACGGTATTGCTCTGTTTGGAATCGTGCTGCTCGTCATTTTTGTGTTCATCGGTAAGAGTAGAAAAGGAGAAGGATACGAAGCTATAACCGAATGAAGATGTCTTTTGCTTGTCTCAACTTGTCTCGAGAACTCTTTATGCAGTTATTTTACTTTATGGTTGGAGATCTTTGTGAGTAAAAAAGCTGTGCAAATCATTTGTTTATCGAATAGTAGATGCAATGTGATCTGCATCCGAATTATGTTACCGTTTTATAATTACTTCGCTTGCTAATTTTAGTTTTGCTATTTCTTATATCTTTGAATTTTAAACTAATACATATATATATATATATATATATATATATATATATATATATGGTGCGATGATCAGGGAAGCATTAGTAAGGTGTATTTATAAATTAATGTGTAAATAATGCGAAAAATTTATGACCAGGAAAGCATTAGTAAGGTGTATTTACCAATAACTAGTGTACACGTAGGAGCTCATATTTTAAGAAATACAATTATATAAATGTGGATAAAAAAATATTATACTAATTAGCTTGTTTATGAATATGTTTAATATTTTAATTTTGAATTTCAAATAGAGTAGAAGACGGAATAATTAAAAGTTTAATTAGTTAAAATATTATATTAATTATATTTTAAAAATTCTAGTTAAATAATTGTAATTGTATTAATTAGTTTGTTAGGAATGTGATTATATGGAAGTTAAGATAAAATAAAAATGTACCCAAAAAATCTACTTGTGTTCTTTTTCTTTAAATGTTTGAATTTAAGAATCTAATAACCAAATTTAGATTATATCACGTAAGGAAAAAAATAAATAATAAACATGTATTAAAGAGATAAATCAATAATATTTATATTAGTTATATCATAAAAAATTTAGTCATATCATTTTAATTTCAAAAAAATTGGCAAGTTTGTTAGAGAGATAATTCCGGTAGATAAATGATTAATTTGTTAAGATATTGTATTAGTTATATCATAAAAGATTTAGTTAGATAATGTAGATAAAAAATATAATATTAATTAGTTTGTTAGAAATGTGATTATATGAGAATCAAGATAAAATAAAATTTACCCAAAAAAAAATTTGCTTGTGATTTTTTCCTTTAAATGTTTGAATTTAAAAATCTAATAACCAAATTTAGATTATAAAATTAATTATATTTTATTTCTATTTTTTCCTCCTCCATTATATTTGCTTCCGCTGCTACTTTTCCGGGATCATGCGACTCAACTCATCACAATCACATCTTTATTTAGTTTTATCAACTCATTAAAATTACATCTATTATTTCCCATCGAAACTTTTAACTTTCCTGAAGGAAATAACTTTTAAGAGTTTTGAATCCACATTTTAATAATCGAATATTCAAGTTTTATAAAGAACGATTTCGTTTCATAATATGTAAATCTTTTAATTTTAAAAATGATCTTGCAACTTATATTAATGAAAATTAGCTAAATTATTATAGATGTTTTTAGACATTTTTTTAATAAAAGCATATAAAACTGTAGGTGTTTAAAAAAAAAAGAATAGATAAATTTAATTGTATTTAACATTTTTTGACATATATCTTAGTTTTTTTTATCCATGTTAAAGATGTTAAGAAATTTTACATACAACTCAAACATTCGTCCAATTGTTTTTTCTACACCAACGAAATTCTACTTATGATTTTAGGATTGACATGATATATAAAAATCGCTTCCAAATTTAAATCAAATTAAAGAATTAGAAATGAAATTAACTCATGATTTTAGGAATCACGTGAGAAATTAATCCGCAAAACCAAATTTCATGGGCGGGATATACCAATATTCACGTTAGCCAAATATTTCAAATAAAATTTTAGGGGAAAAATAAATATTTGAGCGGGAAAATGAATTATTTTTTTCGATTTTTTATTATATAGTAATAGATGCGAATGTAGTGGAGAAATTTATGATTATTTTAATATAAATATAAAAATCACAATTATTATAATGTGATAGAAAAATAGTAAATGATTGATAAATATAAAATATGTAAGTGAATAAATATTATATTTTATAGGTTATGTTTTATAATGAACATGACAATCCAACCTATTTAATCATTTGTTTGAATCACACAAAAATTTGTGTTTATAGATAAATGTGTAACAATGTTTGATTTTTTATTTAAAAATTATACATTAAAAATTGTATTGAAAGATGTGAGTAAAATATAGTAAAAATGTTGAACTTTGAAGAGTATTATATTTTAATTTATTTTTTTTGGTTGACGTGATAATGATTCGAAATATAAATTTATTTAAGTATGTGGTATTCTTTTAAATTAATTTTTTTATGCTAAAATTTAATTTCAAGAAGACTTTTGAGTAAATGGGTTTGGTCGGTGATCAGTAAAAACTATTATGCGAAAACAACGAAAAATCTTGCATTGCGTGTGCGTCGTCTCAATTCCTCGAGTAATCCGAAAAGGAAAAGGAAACAATTCCTCGAGTAATCCGAAGAGGAAAAGGAAATCTTTGTTGTTAGTTATGATATATTCTGGCGTTGCTTTAGTTTCAAGCGAAAATTCCCATACAATTGCTTCGCATTCCCTTTTCTTCTACTACTACTACTACTACTTGTTCTGTTCTCTGCGTGCGCTGCGAAAACATACGAGATGGCCGTCAAATTATGCGATTCAGTTTCACAGATGGGTTCTAACATCTACGGAGATGGAATTTCGTGGATCAGGGGTCCGATGTTGGGTAAAGAAAGCTCCGGCCGCGTCTACAAGGCCAAAAATCGCCGACCGAAGTACAGCTGTTTCCCGCCGGAGATGGCCTTGAAGTCCGCCGACGCTTCCTCCTCGTGCGCGCTGCAGAAGGAGAAGGAGGTCATGGCCAACCTAGGCGCGAGCCCCTACCTCATCTACTGTTTCGGAGACGAGACCACTCAAGGCGACAACGGCTCCATCGCTTACAATCTGCTGCTCGAGTACGCTTCCGGCGGAACCCTAGCCGACAGAATCGCCCAATCCGACGGCAAAGGGCTGCCGGAAGTCGAGGTGAAGATGCACGCGCGTTCTATTCTCAGAGGTTTGAGCCACGTTCACGAAGCTGGATACGTTCATTGCGATCTAAAGCCTGACAACATTTTACTGGTACCAAAAACCGCCGGAGGAAGCGAGATTGATGGTGCCCAATTCACAGCGAAAATCGGGGGTTTCGGCCTGGCAAAGAGGGGAGAAGAGCACTCGAGGAAGAAGAGGAAATTAGGTGGGGGCGAGTGCTGGAGAGGCAGCACGCCCATGTATTTGTCCCCCGACAGCGTGCAGGAAGCGCCTTGTGATGTTTGGGCAGTCGGGTGCATCGTGCTCGAGATGCTGGCCGGGAAATTGCCGTGGGAAGGGACGAAAGAGGAAATTCTCAAGAAGTTAGGGGCAGGACAGGAAATTCCAGAAATTCCGGACTGGATATCGAGGGAGGCTAAGGACTATATCAAGCGTTGTTTGGTGAGGAATCCAATGTTCAGGCTTACGTGTGGAATGCTGCTGAATCACACGTTTGTTAATGGCTTTGATGACGAGTTTGAGGAATTAGAGGAGGATTCGTTTTGTTCGCAACTTGCTGAAGAAAATGATTCGGAAGAGGTAGCCAGTCGATATTCGGACGATGTTGTGTCCAAAGATATTCATCTGCCAAGTGTTAAGGAGAGCCAACAACATTGTCCCTTTGGTGTCGCCATCCATACAGGGGTCTGATATGATAGAGTTATTCTTGTGAGGCGCTCTGCAAGTTGTCTGTTTTAGATTTTAGGTTGCAGAGTAAAAAGATGTAAATGATTTTCTCCAAGTTGTAAATTGAATTACGTTCGTTTCCTTATCAGATTTGTTTACGCAATGAGCGATGACTTATTCATACTGCTTGTTGGCTTGTGGGATATGGGATTTGATGAACTGAATTTATTTGGAAGTAATGCAAGTGGTATAGAGATATTTTGGATATTTTTGCCTTTCTATCAGAATAACACATGTGGGCTAAGTGTCGAATTAGACAAAAGATTTCAGATTTAATACGGATCTTTTGCATGTTAACCCCACTTTTTAAAATATTTTGCAAAAATGAAATATTCAAATTAAAATGGATAAATCATTCATAAAGGAGTCATAAGAAAAAATACAATTTAAAAACCAATTAAAAAAAAAAACAACAAATCAATCATTAATAAACAGTGAAATTTGATATATTTGCAATTAAAAGTAAAGAGGAATTTAAAGATAAACAGTATAATTCTCTTTAACCAAACCACAAAATCTCCAAGTATTTTCTAAACATAGTCTTGATGTGTTGCGAACGCCAACCTTTTTAATTTTAAATAATAACTGGTACAATACCTGTGTACTACACGGGTGTTGAGTTAAGAAATATATGATTAAGCTATTGCTAAAATAAACTTTTTATTTACAAACTTTGATAGACTAATTGATGAAAAAAGAGAGGAGAATCGACAATGCAAGAAGTTATTTGTAAATATATTTTAGAAGAGAAATATGGGAAAATATTATTATATGGTAAAATTACTACTTGCTCAAACTAAGAATGAAATATGTACTAAGAGAAAAGAATAACAAAATTAAATATATACTTACCAAGTTTGAAAAAAGTTATTTATATTTAATAACAAACCTAACTCCAGAGCAAAAATAAATATATAAACATTACGAAGCGTAGATTTTTGCCATGTCAGCATTCGAAGCGTGAGAATCTACCACTTAGGCTCAACGTATTTTGAATAAATATATAGAGGGAAGGGATATTTTGAATTAATATAGGGAGGATAATGAGAATGATATATATAGCCATCCAAACTGCGAAATTGAAGCAAATTCACAAAGTCGAACTGAAAATGTGTATAAATGTAATACACAAGCATTTTCATCGGATATCACCACCAGCACAGGACAGCAAATAAACGTAGCGTAAATGATAAACCGATTATCCTTCACCACCCATTTTGGTGAAAACTCTAATATGAGAAAGAAATGGTTACAACACACTGTATCAGAGCTACAAATTCCGCCACCTTTCAAGTTCAATCAGCAAGCATGGCAAAATAAGGATTGTGAATTGTCACATTTTCACGATTCAGCTATTCCTGAAATATGAACAGCAAAGTATGTCAGGTTTCATACACTGACAATCGATTAAGCTTTAATGTTGAAATTTACCAAAACACAACCTACAAGCAGTATCTGACCTCCTGTTTAAAGATGTACAAGTTTTAAGAATATACATCACATGTATTGAAGCATATAATTAGGAAATGGAATTATGATAACCAAGGCGAGAGCATGACTGCAGCTATTATAAAAAAGACCACGGATGCACATTAGTATTTGAGCTATGTAAATACCTCTTCCATTTCTGCAGGCCCATCTCCTTTCTTTTCAGATTCATTATCTTTAAGTTCATTTTCTGCTTCTTTTTCATCAGTGACCATATTATCCTGTTGAGCACTTTCACTTTTAGGTGCATTGCCACCATCACTGATATTGAGATCAGCTGGAAGCTGGCCTGACTTGAGTGCCTGCGTGCAAAGAATAGACTAATACATTAGCAATTTTTATAAAATTTTGGGGCAAATCAAAAGAAATCAAAACCAAAAACCATGAATGAATATATGGACTATGCTAAGTTCACAAACTTAACCAGTTTCCAGTTCAAAATACTTAATATACTGTTGAGTAAGGTTGTGGAGAGAATTCACCTGTTCAAGCCTCGCCACCTCCTCAAGAGTTTGTGAATTCACAATGGCTGCCTGCACGAATGCAGAAGAGACTTAAATAATCTCGCAGCTTCAAATAAAAGCCAAAGGGTATAGCAGTTTAAAGAACAGACATGGAAATAAATCAATTGTATACAAAAGAATGTCCGGTAGTTTCTCCCTTCTTTCAAAGTCTAAGGCATATAAACATCAAAACTCCTAGCCCACCATTCTCTTATTTCATTCTACGGTTGACCAGTACTGCATTTTTACCTGAACAAAATTAGACAAGGGATTATCCTACTTTCTTTCTCTTCTATATTATTTACATGGTGACCAAACCTCTTTCCTATCCCCCTTTCATTTTAAAACTTCCAGTCTCTAAATACTATTTGAAAATTCTGAATGTGTTTCAACACATTAGAATAAACAAGTTTGACATGTTTTTTGAAATCACTGCAGGTGTAAGACTTTTAAATTTGATTGTGGAATTGTAGACTCACGAAGAAGGAATAAAAACATACCTTTATAGCTAAAATTTGCTCTGGTGTAGGAGCAACTGGTTTAGGCGTTTGTTCCTCCTTTGCAGGTTCCTGAGTGCTAGGGATCTCACCAGGCACAAAAGTCTTTGCAGATTCCCTTCTAATTTCTTCTTCAGCCTCTTCGGATGCAAACAAATTCTTGGCTTCAACCCGCTCCTATTTTCACGAAGAGAAACAGCATTTAACTAGTTAGCTAAACTATTAACTATTGCACAGAAAAAGTATTATTCCCAAAGTAACATAAAAAATATAAGTAAGAACTTGAATATATATCAAGTAACTAAACAGGAAAAATAATAATTTTATACAACAGAAGTAAATTTTGGAGAAACAACCAAAAAAATTTTTTTTGGCGACACCCAAACTGGCATAAACTTAAAAGGGAAGACAATTCTTGTTCCAAAACACAATTTTGCTATACAATTTGACTAATGGGAAGTATTGATGATGAAGAAAGATAGAAGCGGAAAAATGCATAGGGTGACAGCATCCTATTAGAATAGCACCAAATGCATATCTGAATTTCTTTGGATCACAAAGCACGCAATACAACACTAGTTAAACAGCATCTCACAGGAGAGTGAGGCATTATGGTGATGCCTTAACCATGCCATTTTCAAAATTTAAATGACAACAGACGACATAAAAGAACAGAATTTGTTTGCTAACCTTCTGTTTGACTTTCCTGAAATCTAGAACACGTAGAGACTTCAACTTGTGGATGACATATAACCGGTAATTTGGTTTCTTTGTGATGTTGTTGTCAAGAAGACTAAGAAACTGCAGCTTCGGGAGAGATGCAAGAGGATCGATTTCAACCAGGTTTGTTAGCCTATTGTTAGTGAGTACCAAAGTGTGCAGTTTGGGCAAAAATTCTGCATTCATCCCAACCAACAAGAAGTCAGCCGAAACATGTCAATATCGGAAACTATTTATGAAAATTAATATACTACATCGAGACCTCCAAGATTGGGATTGATGCGAGTAATTCTGTTGTTATTCAGAAACAAAGTTCCTAGGCGATTTAAGTAGGGAAAGTTTTCGAGCTTCACAATCTCATTGTCGGATAAATCAATGGTGTCAAACTGGTCCTGTAACTCACAATTAATGAGCAAAACAGAAGAATATAAAAGTTACAATCTTCAGAAATTTTGAATATCAACAGGTAAAAGTAACGCAGCCCACAGATTCATAAACAAACAGGGAACTTTTACAAAAACAAATAACAAAGGTGCAGCAGCCAACTTTCTGTCAGAAGCGAATAAAGAAGGAACAAACATTATACATATAGGGTTAAACTGCACCTCAGTCGCACCAACGTTCTCGATAACAGCAATTTTGTTCCCTGTAAACAGTAAATTCAAGAAAAATAATCAAAACAAATAAAGAATATCATCCAAAATATTTCGTAGAAATGCTAGGGTTTAAAGAAGAAAAACCTCGGAGATCGAGCTCTCGCTCGCGAACGGCATTGAAAAAATGGGGGCTTTTCGAAATCAAATCTGCAGTTAATCTCACCATTTTATGGCCTCCGCTTTTCTTCCACACTCTTGCTAGCTAGTTTTCTGCCGTTTGAAAATGCCGAAAAATCGGCAGCGCACAAAACCCCCGAACAGTGGGGTTTAAGTTGTACTGTAACTGTGTAAAGGCCGAGGGGATGCGCCATTATGATGGGCACGACATAAATTCGGGCCTAGGCTTCGAATCTGAACCCGGTTCGTGATTTTTACCAACAGTTTGTGAGCTCACTTTTGTATCTTAATTTGCATTCTTTATTTTATTTATAATTATAAATTTAATTGTAATAAGTATATAAATAATTTAACATATTTAAAAATATGAAATTTATTTTTTTGTATACGTAAAAATGATTACATAANCGAGACAATCGCTAGCAGTCGGAAAAAGCAACTACACAGTTGAATCCCGTGGGAGGACAACCTAAGGGGCCGCCTAGTCAGCCACAACACACCCACGAGCTCCATATAGGAAAATACAACTTCCAAAAGGATAATGCACACCACGAAATACCCAAAAAAACTAAAAAACACAAAAGAAAATACTAGAATAAGCCCTCCTCGCCGGCTAACTGGTAACCCCAAACCCCAAGGCATTGACATCGAGCACGAAGCAAGAAACTCCAGACCGAAGTTGGTTAACCAGAACCTGCCCGAATATCACCTACCCTTCCAACAGCAAGCACCGTCGCAAAATTCGGGCGTCTTACAGCAGTCTACGCTCACACAAACCCCTTCGAAACTGGATGTTACCGCTGCCGATGAAGCCCACCGATCCCCACACCAGAGACCGACCAGGCCAAGGCACGAGCTTGCTGCCCAAACAGTGCTCGGTTCCGACGGCCATGGAAGGCCAACAACTCGTCGGACTCCCCCAACCCGCTGCCAAACCACCAGGAAGTCGGAGAGAGGGCTCATCAAGACGCCAATCCACCACGGCCGACCCAATTCGGGTAGAAATAGCCGAAAAAACGCTGACTGGAGGGTGCCGACGAAAAGACTTTGACGCCGTCGAGAAGAGAGAAAAGGGGATCTAGGGTGCCAAAGAGAGAGAAAAATCTAAAAAAGTAGCATTTTTTTTTTACGAAACGATAGAGAAAGTAGCAAGTTAATTAATCTTATTAAATATAATTTTTCAAATAAATCAGCTACTTATGCCAAATATATTTTTCAAAACCGCTAATACTATGCTACTCAAAAGTCAAATCATTTATTACAATCTGCAATTAGCTAACCTTTTAACAAACACATTTTCAAAACCATTAATACTATCTGCTAGTCAAAAGTCACTATTAGCATCATTTAGGATAAACTGTTTGGATTTTCTTCTTTGGATAAGCATATTGGATTTTCTTTTTTAGTTCATTTTTTTTTCATTTTTTTTAACAACAGTTTATTGGTGTTCACTTCTTATATCTTACTTTATATTTGTTATTTCATTTATAATCTAGTCATAATAAGTATGAAAACTTAATTTAACATATTTAAAAATATATTATTTATTTTTTGTTTCACATAAAAATTATTACATAAATACAATTGATTAATTATTATTTTGTAATTTCTTATGTAAAAAATATTTCCAATTTAATCTTACAAATTATATTTTTTTTAAATGAATAGGCTACTTCTACAAAACATATTTTAAAAAATCGCAAACACTATCAGCGAGTCGAAATAGCTGATACCAACAATTGGTAAAAATAGCTATTACAATTCGTTACCTATTAACCGCTAACTACGAAGGCCATATCCTTGGCAAATATCTTTATATCCAAATGAATAATACAAGCACATTGCTCATGCCAGCCACTTACTAGTCATGTAAGAGTTGATATTGTTGTGAATACTCGCTCCACATTCCCTAGCATTTACAGCGCTATCAATTTACAACTTCTGTGTAAAAGAATACAGTGTGCCTTCCTCAAATATAATCACAAACAAGAATCACCTTTCCAAGGTTCACTTCACTCTGCATGCGTCAAAAAGAATGTAATGGAATAAAGGCGCTTCAAACCTCCACTTTGCTAATAGAAGCTGAATGAATGATACCACAGCAAATACCGTCAACTCGTAAATCACAACACTCACGTGAAAAGTCGAAAAGATGCGATTTCAACAGCTAGCTTTCTGAAGAATCAACTTGGCTCCAGAGCTTATCCGCGTAAGCCCTTTCATCTTCCCTTTCCCGAGTCGTGCATCCGGAAGCTTCCAGAACCTCATCTTCCTCCTGTTCCATTACTTCATTCTCGGCCCAATCAACGGCAGAGGCCGCCAACAGAGCTTCATTCATTTCTCTCTCCTCATTTAAAGCCTCCCTCATAGATTGGGCTGTAGCGGGCTTGTCTCTAGGCCCGTATTTAGGCGGAGGCACCACAAATGGCAACACAATGTCGTCCAAATCTTTAATATTTTGCTCGACATGGCCTGCCGAGTCTGGTGGCGGGACAACGAAAATTATGCCAATTTCATAGTTAGAAATGTGAAGCCTCGAGCCCAGTACAGAATCATTTCTCGTATTCCTCCAGTTTGATTGCGTGTTAGAGATAGGTCGTCCCCAGGCTGCAGCACTGAAGTTGTGGGACCCACAGTAAACCCACCCGAAGGAAGATTTGTCCCTCTTGGACACAAATCGCCTTCGGCCCACCTGCTTAGAAAGGGTGAAGTTCGATTTATAATCAAACCTAGAAGTTCAATTTTATTATTCATTATGTTTATTCAAAATAACCCGAACATTTTTGGTCTTCATAATCAGGTTAAACAAATCTCAGGAGCAATTTTAATATTTCACTCTCATAAATGTTTACAGAGAGGAGAGTAAATAAGAGCAATACAATCTAGTGGCTGGAAAAAAAAAAACGTACATTGACTGCAATGTAGGCATTTGATTAATTAAGAGCAATGGCATCTAGTGACTGGAAAAAGCAGTACCTTGACATGCATTGGGATCCCAACTCTGTCGCTAGGATAGGGAATTGCATCATGGAGTATACCGACCTTTTCCAACTTCTGCCATGTTTTCTGTTAAAAACAGATAATTGATAAACTTGTTGACGAGTTGTTAATGCATAAGTAACAATGTATAGTGCACCACGTGCAAGAGACTAGTTCAGCTATTGCTGAATTAAACGTATGATTATAGTAGATATTCTCGTATACTAAACTGTTACTTCCAATTAGTTAAAGCACCAAAATTTACAGAAAATATTTCTAGGAAGGGGGCTCAGACAGTGAAAACAAGAAAAATAATTAAAATGTTCAATCCCTGAGAGAAAAATCCCTCATTTTCCCAGGAGTTTAGACATTCATATTTGTATAGAGACCTAAGGGAGGTTAATAGAAAAAAAATGTTGCTTTGGGTTTTCTCCATAAAGTGAAGGCAGCGAGAATGACCTGGAAAAATTAAACTAGAAATGTAGGTTTCAGCAAGAGGAATTGGATCTATTAAATACTTGAATTGTCTGATTTCATTTACCAAAAAGATTTAGAAAACTAAAATATTGTTCATAAGACTTTAAAATAACAGAAAGGGAGCACAACAGAGGCGATTCCATATTTCAAAGGAGTTTGAGTTTGTTACCTGTGAAAAGCACAAGATGCACCTCGAAGCCATTATCCCACTTCTGTTGTTCTTCACATTCTCAATGCAAGGAAAAAGAATCTTAATAGAAGGGTTTTTGAGTTCTTGACTTGCACTCCAACAGCCCCACTGACAGACACAAGGGATAAAAGCACTCAATGCAAAGGGGCAAATAGGGTAAAACAGAATCCTACTGGAAGCATCATCTTACATCTGGATCTGACTCCTCAGAGTCGGAAAATGGCACCGATTTTTTTCCTGTTGCTGCTGAGAATGCAGCTAGAAATTGTGCATTTACACTTCCAACTGAGGACGAACCTTCAAAAAGAAAGGAGAAGTGAAAACAGGGTTAGAAAAGCAAGGTCATTTCATTGAGACAATCATGAAATAGCATTAGACTTGTATACTTGCCAAAAATGAAGTCCGATTCCATATGTTCAGGCCACTTGTACTGACACAAAACCTGGAAAGCAGGACACGTGAAGAAATTAGCATGAAAGACATGCATAAATGGTCCAGCTTTAGCATAATGCAAGCAGGCAGACAAATTGAAATTAAAAATTGATAAGCACAACTGATGCATGAAAATATTCAGAAGATTACACTTGGCCCCACTGTTCTGCAACTTTACCTCTTTAAGGCGCCAGAGTCCTGTGTACTTATGACTTGATGCAACAATGGTGCATATAGCAGAAATATGTTCGAGTTGTGTAACTTCTGAAATGGTAGAAAAGGAAGGGCCCTGAAAAGACAAAAAAATAAAATAAAATAAAGATAGAAACACAGTACGTCATGGCTGCCCAAGAATGAGTATAGATTTGCTTCACATAAGCAAAAAATAATAAAACAAATTCCAGATAGTGACCATACCGCATAAACATAAATAATCAGTTTTACTTTTTTGTTACTTCCTTCTAACGCAGTCGCAAGGACTTCCTTAGGACAAATATAAGCAGAAAATGCAAAAATGCCAATATCTGAAAGTGGAGCCACCCATTTTGCAACATCCCGCGGTAGAAAACCCAGTTGAACAAAATCTACATCAAGAGGACAGTAGAAAGTTAATTGACATGGAGCTAACAAACTGAAACACTCTTTACTGGTCCAAAAGATAATATGGTTCAAGAAANAAGTAGTTATTATATCACTATCACAGAAAAAGATTTAAAGAACATATATTTTTCAAGGATATCTCTTACTATTTTTCGATTGCTAATGCCTATAAATCATATCCTTATTATTATCAACATCATGATGCTGTTGCACATAATTCTTTGAAGTCATAATTCTCAAAGAACATTAATATCTGACATAATTATAGATATAAAACTAATCCAGCTCATTCAATTTCTGGGATTTCAACAAAAATTTCTGAAGGACAAATCCGAAATACTAAAACACTGATAGGCGATATAGGATCTTCCAATTGTATGATGGCAAGATCCGACAGCATTCACAGGCATTGAGACTGCATTCTCTAACTGAGTGAAAAGTGAGAGAACAAATTTAAGCAGCTTAAGCAATCAATGCTGAAAATTTTACCTCCCACAGAAAAATCCTCTCGGTTAGGAATAAGCACACTCACAGCATTCTTATCAGCTGCTATATTTGTAGCTCTCCTCAAAACAATCTCTGACATCCCGTCCATGTTTTCATGGCATTTTCCAAGAAGCAATGCCAACTTCTTTAAATGCTCTCCACTAGAATCTGCTGACATACGATAGATGTGGCTAATACCAACTACAGATGCTTCAACATATGATAGGAATTTTGCACCACGAGACTCAAACTTGTGTTTGTTACCCTGAAATAATAATTAAATCAGATATTCAACTCAACTAAAGGATCACTCGACGGGAAAGATATATAACATGACTAGAAATCACAATTCATCATATAATAGGAGTTTTAAGCCATATTGAAACATAAACTGCTCCTTCAAGAGCATACTCAAAACCAAGATAAATATCGACAAATATGGAGAGGAAAAGAAAGCTTTAAGCTACTAAAGGGTGACAATGATATTGATCCTATTTGACAGTTCCATTACTGCTACTCTGATCTGAAGAAATCTTCAGAATCTTAAAAGCTAAAAGATCTAGGAATCTACGCATGGCAAATCAAATACATAAAAGCTTCAGCAGATGACAATCAAGAAGCATAGATTATTTTAAACATTCAAAATAACAATTAGATGAAATCGAGAGTGAAACCAACCACTACAAGTTCATTATCATAAGACATTGAATACTTCACACATAGATCAGAAGCAACAGCAACTCCTCACCAACATATGACTATTGGATTCATACACATAAGGGCTTCTGTGCGTATGAATTCCAGGAACAGAAGTAACCAAATATCCAGCAGCTCCTTTGAAATCATATTTGGTTAACTCCAGGATCCAGTGAGCCTGGCTAGCGACATCAGCTAATAGAGATGCCATAAATCCAGCCAACTGAGCAGCAAAATCACATATTGAATTTGAATTGGTTTCCCCAAATGGTAAACGGGAGAAAAGTGCTAAACCATTGGGAATAGTTAATCGTGGGAAGTCTTGCCACCAGACTGTATTAGTTATTCTCTGCCACTGCAGGAAAACCAATAAAAAACGAATAAACTCTAGTTAAACTAAGATACCCTGTAGAAAATTAATTCATAAAAAGGAGCCTTAAAATGCATGAGTGCTCAAGTAAAATTCTCAGATAATATGGCATGATAATTCAGTTAAAACATTTAGGCGAGAGTCAATAATATTTTTCTTTATTGTTTCCTTGTATTTAAATAAATTAACACAAAAATATTGCAACTGTAGATGCTAGATTATATTTTTTGAACTTTTATCCTTCATGAATTCAACTCTGATTGGAACAGAGAAAGTGGATATCTTCACACAGTAATATAATCACTGTTCTAAAAATCGGCCTGGGCGGCTGCCTAGGCGCTAGGCGGTGCCCGGGTGCCTCCGATTTGTACAAATCGGCAGAAAAAATCGGCCAGGCGGCTAGGCGGCGACTAGGCGGGCCTAGGCGGCCCTAGGCGCTCCTAGGCGGCCTTGGCGGGCTCGGCGGCCAGGCGGTTAGGCAGCGTCTAGGCGGGCGTAGGCGGACCTAGGCGGGCTCGGCGGCAATTTTTCAATTTTTTTTTTGATTTTTTTTTTTATTTTTTTAAATACTAATTACATTATTTGTTCTCATGTTTTCTTTAATATATATTAATATTATTATTTGGACTTTGGAGTGTGAATTTATTATATGTTGAGATAATTTTATTTTGTAGGTAGTTAAAATAAATAAAAAATAAGGTATTTACTATTGATTTCTGGGCCCCGACTAGGCGCTCTAGGCGCTAGGCACTAGTCGAGCGCCTAGCGGGCGCCTAGCGACTTTTAGAACACATATAATAAATAAAAATTACATCAACAAAAAAATAAGAACCTGTTTTTCCACCAAATTTGCAGATGAGATAACAACACGCAGTCTATCTTCTCTTTGCAACACAAATAACTTTGGATGATGGCAGCCGATGCCTGAATTCTTTCTATCATTATTAAAAGCTATAACTTCAGGAAATGGCGGATACCTATTATTGTGAATACAATACATTAGTACATTATAAATTGTTGTTTATGGACATGCAGCAGCAACTTATGATCCTGCAAATCAAGAAAGTTCAGAATGTCACTTACACCACAGTTAAGTTTGGGAAATCCGAAAATGGCACTGATATTCTTTTATTTTGGTCTGCACTCCAACACCTTTCAGAGTTATGACAAGCAATTGTCACTGGTAGATGACAAGGAATCTTACAGTAATTGAGAAACCTACACATAGTTTTTGATAAATGATCAATTACAAATAGCAACATAACAAAAAAGAATAAGGATATATATTTCAAAGTATACCCGATATTGCTTTCTCAACTGAAAAGAGCATACCATAGTATATCACACGTAAATGTTGCAATGAAAACCCTCTCAAGACTTTCAACTGGATGGAAAAGCTCCGGCAATGAAACCTCACCATCATTCTCCACAATTTCTTGATCCCCAAACTGAAGACGGTTAAGATAGAACTTATTTCCAGGTGGCAGAATGCAACCACCAGAATTATTATCGTCCTGAAACTCTCCATGTTGAGCACTATCAATAGAAACAGCAGCTTGCTGGATACCTATGGCATCACCACCAGACTGCCTTTCAGTGTTAGCATTAGAGGCAATTTTCGGTATTTCAAAACTGGGGATCTCAGTATTTTCCTCAGGGACCACTAAGACCTCGTTTTTTGATATACTGTCACAATGTTCAACAGACTCAAATTCTGTTAAGTAGACCCTCTTCCTTTTATGATAGCCACTATGAAACCCGCTATTTGAGCGAAACTCAATACTATTACCTAATAACAGTTCAGGAAATTCCTTAAGTACAATCCCGCAAGAAAGATCAATCCTCTTTTTCTGGTTAAGAACAATACATTTCTGGATACAAGATACTGGATTATCACTACACAATATGTTTCTACACCAACTCATAAGTAAACCTGTATTATCTAACACTCTGCTACTTTTCAATGTAACATTAACCTGTTTCGACTGTACACTACATGGACTCAACTGAACCGAACATCCGTAATCAACCTCCTCTACAAGAACGGCTTTTTCCACTAAAAACCCAATGCTAATCCCCGACCCACAAGCACCTTCACCCCTGCAAACGAGCCCGACCACATCACCAACCCGTAATTCAACCACCCCATCAATCCTAACCCCATTTACAAACACCCCATTAGTTGAAGCGCCTGACCTAAACTTAGCAAAAGAATAATCACGTCTACCGTAACCAAGAAATGGACCATCCGACAAATAAATACTCTTCTCCAAAGAATCGAAGTAAAACTGGCAGTGCCTTTTACTGACCCTGCGATCACTGAAAACAAAATCACACCACTCCAATTTGCGGCCAATGGTGTAGGACTTGTGGGGCTCCAGACGAAGGGATTCACAAACTTCACCTGTGGAACTTGAAATTAAAGGGATTCCTAGTGGCCTGACACTCAGAATCGCCTCTTTGACGGTGTTACTCCTCGACCTTTTGCGCGGCGACGCCGGAATTTCGAATCTTTGCCGTCGGAAAGAAAAAGAAGAATCTGAAGAATGGCTCATATTACAAACAATTCCATATAAATTAATGGGATTTGCGAATGGAGATGAGAAATTTCTCAAAAGAAATGAACAATTTTCTCTCCAACCAAATGAAAAATGATAAAAAATGGACTGAAAACGGAGAAAAGATGGCTTCCGTTGGAAGTTTCCCTCCAAAAAGAATAATTTGCTGCTGTAATTTTTGCATCTCTCTTTGAATTGGGCCTCAGATTAGCTAAGCAAATGAGCTGAAGCTTTTCCTAAACCCAATGGAATATAAAAGATGACAGCCTCATTATGCTAAAAAGGGGCTCGCCCGTTTTTTATGACCAGGTGTCGACCGAGTATGGGAGTCCAGTACCACTACCGTGTGCCTTAGGTGTGTCAGGGCAATTATGCACGCGCCTAATCACTCCCAAAAACAAAAAAAAAATGAGAGAGTGTAGTACACATGTCACTTCCTTTTTTTTTTAATTGAAAATGAGACATATTAGATATATTAAAATATTATTAATAATTTATATTAAAATAAAACAATAAATATACCAACATTCATAAATTTTCATTGTCTATAAATAGAGACCACATTTGATAGGTTTTTTTAACATAATTAATTTTTTTTTTTCGTAATCAATTTATTATACTGACAGAAGATGAACATGTTACATAATAAGATGAACATGTTATAACATAAGATGAACATGTCCGTTATTATACTGACATAGGATGAACATGTTACATAATAAGATGAATATGTTATCAAATAAGATGAACATGTTAAGGACATGTTCATCTTATGTTATAACATGTTCATCTCATTTTGTAACATATTCATCTTATTTTATGACATGTTCATCTTATTGAATATGTTATCAAATAAGATGAACATGTTACGGACATGTTCCTCTTATGTTATAACATGTTCATCGCATTTTGTAACATATTCATCTTATTTTATAACATGTTCATCTTATTGTGTAAATATGTAACATGTTCATCTTATTCTATATCATGTTCATCTTATTATGTAACATGTTCATCTTACTATGTAACATGTTCATCTTATTCTATAACATGTTCTATCTTACTAAGTAACATGTTCATCTTATTTTGTAACATATTCATCTTATTTTATAACATGTTCATCTTATTGTGTAAATATGTAACATATTCATCTTATTTTATAACATGTTCATCTTACTATGTAACATGTTCATCTTATTCTATAACATCTTACTATGTAACATGTTCATCTTACTAAGTAACATGTTCATCTTATTATGGATCTGCATCTTCATCTTCCAACAAAATAAATATAATTGTGAAAAGTGATAAATTAATTGTATTCTAAAACTTATCAAATGTGGTCTCTATTTGTAGAGAATGAAAAATTATGAATTTTGGTATTTTTATTTTTATTTTTTAATATAAAATATGAATGATAATTTAATTTATACAATATGATATATAAAATTCATTATCCAATAGAAATGGGACACATGTCTCATTTAAAAGAAAAAAACTTACCTCACGCGCTTTTTTGAGGGAGTGTATTTTACAAAGGCCTTGGCACACCTTGCCAGGTGTGCCTAATTATTTGCGATGAGAGTCCGTCTGTTTTTTATCACGAAGAAGTGGAGGCTGAAGCGGGGGATGTGATTGGTGATAGATTCACGATTATGCTCTAAGAGCATCTCTAACAACCAAACTCTATAAACCTCATTTTACACTTTTCAACATGACACATCATCCAAAACTTCATTTTTACTCCTATACTCATAAACCTCCAATAACAATAAACCTCATAAACCTCCTTTTTATGGGTCCCACATGTTTCCACTTAATTTTTATTAATATTTTAAAACTATAACATTAACTTATTTTTATTTAATCTAAATGTTATCTATATATATATATCATAAATACATATAAAAATAATAATATATTTATACTACATTATTTATAATTATAGAATGTTAGAAGATTACTTGTTTTTTGGTTTTCGTTAAAACAAAATTTATAAAATTTTAATTTTCGGTCATTAATAAAAATTGAACTTCAATTTAATTTTTGTAAAATTATTTATGTCATAGAAATATGGAAGGATGTTTTACAGAAACCAAAATAATTTATATCCACTACATTGTAAATAATTTGTGTCACATAGAAAAAGTAGGAAGGTGTAGCCATCCTCTCTTTAACTCAACTTGTAGCGCATGCCTACAATTCTCAATTAGAAATTCAATGGACATACCTCACGCTCCCAGCACTTCTTTCTCTTTCTTTTTATTCCTTTTTTAATTTTTGGACATTTAAGAGGTTTGGATTCTCAAACCTGTTTTGCATTCACAAACCTTAAACCTGTGCCAAATAATAGAAAACCTACAGGTTTAAAATTTCAAACCTGTTCCAAAACCTCCTATAGGAGATGCTTTAAGGATCTCCACCAAAGGGATGACTTCATTAAACTCAACTGTTAACCAAATTCGTGGAGTATATGTGGTCTTACTTAGATAAGGCAATATGCTAGATGGCAAAACAAATGGCACAACCCATTATAACCGAGAAAATTCCAACATACAAACTTGATTCGGTAGAATTTGAAGAACTTAATTTGGGAAGCCATCGCCTACTTTTCAAGGAATAAATATTATTTCGATTAAGATAAGTTTATGTCGGATTCGAGGGCGAATCCTTTTCGAGAAGGGGAGAATGATGGAGATCAGGATAAACAAGATCTCTGGTGTCTTTAATTTAATTATTTATTCAATTTATTTATTATTAGTATTTTAATCCTAGATTTGTAAGTAAAGTTATTTAATTATTCTAGTCTTTCCATTTGGTAGGAACAATATTTAATTATCTTTTACTTGTTAGGAAAGTTAGGATTCCTCGGTTCTATTTAAGAGAACCTTTTCTCTTTGTGTTTAATCGATTAAATGTTTAAGATAAAAAAAATATATTCTTGAGAGTTTTATCTCTTGTATTTTTAATCGTACGCTTTCGCTATGTCACTTCATCTAATTCTCTGCCTTCGGTATTTCGTTGATTTTGAAATACTAATTGGCGTGGTTCAACCACGAATACGGGTCCATCCCGTTAAGCGTTGGCAGAATCAATTTTTGTCTCGCTCTTGCGCCTTTTTCGGTGATTTGAGCCCCGTAAGCGATTATCATCGTCCTCTGTGAACTCGTTTTCTGAATCAGTTGAGTTGTCAGATGAACAATCCGAGCCGTTGCCCCTCCGCGCTCGCCGTCCGATAGTTTGGAGCAACATCCTCTCGATCCTAGCCACCACTTGATTGGTTGATCGTATGTCAACGTTGATTGAACGTACATTCTCTTTCAATCGATCGATCCTTTTCATGTTCGACAAAATGATCCACGATCAATTCTCTCAATGAAAACACCAATTGTAAAGATCGTGTATCAATGGATCCGATTTTGTGAAAACTCGCGTTGTTGGCCGTCGGTTAATACGAGAATTGTGCTCAAACGTGAGCAGTTTTGTTTTCTTATTGCCTTAAGTTTTTTAGAGAAGGAAATATATTAAATTTGCAATTAAGACCCTAAGAATCTCTAAACAACTAAATGAATTATAAAATAGGAAATTTGCAAATGAATCCTCAATTCACGCCAAACTGGCACGACGGCATGGCCAGTTGCAGCCCTGTCGCGACGGCATGGCCAGTTGCAGCCCTGTTCACTCGCGACGCCCTCTTCGTCACTACGTGGGGGACGCGATGGCCTGTAAATGAGCAAGAGTTGTTGCTCGTTGGTCCATCGTCCTTGTGTGCGTTTGTGCCAGTCCTTGATGCGAACATGTCAAGCTCTATTATAGGAGTTCTTAAGCATTCGGAGCTCTATTATAGGAGTTCTTAAGCATTCGCCCTTCGTCCTCGACAGAGGTCGTGTAAAAATGTCCGAGTATTTTTCCTAATCTTATAATAGTTATCCTAATCTTATAATAGTATAAATCGACAAACACAATAGATGATATTCCACTTTAAAAATATGTCTATAAGTGCAATAGCATATATAGAAGAATAGATGATATTCCAGTATAGATAGACAAACAGATTAGATGATATTACAATTTAAAAATACGTCTTTAAGTGCAATAGCATAGAAGAATAAGAGGATATTCCAATTTGTACTCTCTCTACAAGTGCGAATCTCTGATATAATTATCTCAATTATTTTTCATCAATAAGCAAATAATTACTACTCACGTCCCTGGAAGTCCAAAATACAAGATAGATATGTATAATGTAAACAAACAATTACGTGAACGGAGAAAAAAAATGTACAAGACCAACAAAGATACCACAAAAAGGGACGAAATGGATAAAAGGAAATAGGTTATTAGTTATTACATAAGCTGAATTGTCGTTAAGGAAGTCCTTAACCAACTTATTAGCTATTACTGTTCAACACTCACAGAGGCATGGAACAAAAAATTCCACCATTCATCACAAATCTACTCCAAGAAAGGAAAATGCATCATTCAACCTAAGTTAACCATCACTTAAAAGACTTCATCTTAATTCGCCTGTCGATCAATGGGGTTTCACCTCAACGCCCACATCTTTCAACGACTCAACACGAACCGGCCTGCAAACAACACAATCCAAGTTAAGGAGCCCAATCACGGGCCACACAAGCCCATAATCCATTACTAATTTGACTGAGAATAACCAATCGTAATTGTCCACCTGGCAAAAACGTCCCCACGAATGGGGTCATCCATGATCTCCTGCCTGTCAAAGTCCTGAATGTGGGCAATCTTACGGAAAAACGAGTGCTTGACGAACTTTTCCCCATCCTCAGCCACTCGCTCGGGCTCCACAACTTCCGGAATAGTCTCCCTTCTCGACTTTTTCAGGAACACGTTCGGGCCACGGGCCATCTGGTGGAAAACCGTGAAAAGCCCGAACCCCATCTGAAGGCCTATAAAGCCAAGCAAAACGTAAACAGCCATGAACTCTCCCTGCCTCTTTGACCTGCACAGATCACATTAATTATTTACTTGAACAAAATTAAATGTCTCTAATTAGCTTTAGATGAAATAAATAAAGATAAAAACACACTTGGTCTTGATGCCTTCTGCAGAGGCCAGAGAATGGTCTGCTGTGGGGGCGTAAGCTTTCATCTTTGGAGCACTCAACGTAGTAAATTTCGAACTTCCCTGCAAACCAGTCATTGATTTCCAGTAAGCGACCTGCAAAAAACCAGACGCAAGATTGAAGTGATGATGATTATCTGCTTCTGGCAGTTTAAAATGAAATTCCATTTTCATTCAAAGAACAAGAAAATTATCTAACAGGGTGATTCGAATGCTTACCGCTGTCCTCAAAGCCATTCTTTGATAATTGATACAACAAAACCACAAGTTATGATGAGAGTGATTCGTAGGACAAAGGAAAAATCTGCTTGTTGATGTTCGGATAGATGATAGTTATGACAATTTTTATAGGGAAATAGGAGAAAGAGGTTGATTTTAGTAGTGTGGCATGCAGAAAAGGGGACGTGGCACAAAATGGAAGGTACAGCATCACGATGGAGAACTCGAGGGTGACACGTATGTTTTTGTAGCAGATAAAAAAATTACAAAAATAAATGAATTTAATAAGCTGTTTATATATTTTGTAGTAAATTACTAAATATGAATGTCTAAATCATATATTCATGTCAAATATGATGTACTTGGTCTTGGTGAATTTGACTCTTGCAACCAGTGTTTTGAGACCCGGACCGACTCGGTGGATCGATCCGGGACCCGGTCGATCCGGAGTCGGAACCGGTCTGGGTGGAGTATTTGGACCGGGCAACCAATCAAACCCGGTCAAAACCCAGTCGACCCGGCAGAGACCCGGACGACTCGGGACATTGACCCGGTCCATATATATTTTGTATATTTTTTTTTATTTTTTTTATTTTTTAAAAATAAAAATATGTATATATGTTTATATGGTAAATATTTATCATGAAATACATATTATTAACACTTTAATATACAAATTTTATACACAAAACATTTAATTTGTTACTTTTATGTATATTTATATAACAAAAATACTCTATATATAATTTTAAAAAAATTTAAATTAATTATCCGGTTCAGCAATTGACCCGATGACCCGACGGTTGAACCGGTGACCCGGTGACCCGAGGACCTGCCCGGATCGATCACCGGGCCGGGTTTAAAAACTATACTTGCAACACAAATTTTTAAAAACAACTATCTAATGTTTCTCTATTATTTTTAGTCATAAACAATAATTCAAATCCATAAATATTTACATTTACCTCGTTGAACATGTCAAAGGTATGATGTGATGTCCATGACAATCTAAAACTGGTGGTTACCAAGTGCCTAAAAGCTCCCCTTACTTAACAAGTAGTCAGATAAAAAAATATACCCTGATGATGTTTAAACTATTTTTCATCTTTAATTCCATAAAAGAATTAGAACAACTATTTAGAGTCTCAAAATGGCGCCTTTACAATTTGCATATGCAGAACTATAGAAAACCACACACCATGAGAGAAAAAAACAATACCCATCACATGAATGAAATGCCTAGGCCCCTTCATACTGGTGCAGCTCCAATCCATTCAAAACCCAGTGTATCTCCTCAGTACAAGCATGCAAGCAATCACCCGAAACAAACTCGTGATTAATCCCATCCACCTCAATCCAACTACACCCAGCAACCTTCTTTATCCCTAACCTACAATCCCTCAATTTCCTCACCCTCACCAAATCATCCCACCTTCCCGAATTTGCGTACATATGCGCCAAAACCGAGTACACCCCACCGTCTTCCGGTCTAACCTGCATTACACGATCTGCCGCCATCTCAGCAATTTCAAGATTCCCGTGTATTTTACACCCACCAAGCAATCCTCCCCACACAAACACATCTCCCTTTATCGGCATTTTATCTATCATGTCAATTGCCTCGTCTATCAAGCCCGAGCGCCCAAGGAGATCAGCCATGCATCCGTAGTGCTTAAGCTCTCGAGGGACTTTGTACACATCCTCCATCTCGGAAAATATTTTGCGGGCCTCGTTTGTCAGGCCCGAGTGGCTGCAGCCCACTAGAACCCCAAGAATCGTCACCCCATCAGGCTTCACTCTGTTTTTTTTCACCATTCTTGAAAAATAATCTAGCAACTGTTTTCCGTGTCCATGCACGGCTAGGCCCACGAGCATTGCATTCCATAAAGACACGCTTTTTAGCTCGCACGACAGGAATACCTCATCAGCTGTTTTGATCTGCCCGCATTTCGCGTACAGGTCGACCAGTGCAGTGCCCAAGTACGAGTCTAGTTTAATTCTGTTTCTTCGAATGATGTTGTGTATTTTCTTGCCTTTTTCCAGATCTCCCAATTGAGCACAGGCTGAGAGGCCTGAAACAAGGGCGACGTTGTCGAGCCTCACCTTTGACCCCACCATACGGTCAAACAACTCGACGGCCTCGACACACCTGCTCGATTTTGCGTAGCCTGCCAAAAGTGTGGCCCATGAAACTGAATCTCTCTCGGGCATTTCATCGAACACGTTTCGTGCTCTGTCAACCTCGCCGATTTTGACTAGCCCGTCAATCATGACGTTGTAACTCACCACGTCTTTAAACGGACTTTCTTCGAACACTTTCTGCGCGAGGCTAAAGTCGCCGCCTTTGGAGTATGCGCAGGCGAGAGCGTTGTGCACGAAAAGATCGGCCGAGAACCCAAACTTGAGCAGCTCCGAGTGGAGATTCCCGGCGAGTGAACGCGGGTCAACGGATATCCCGCAGGCTTTGAGGACGAAAGGGAACGTGTGAAAATCCGGTGGGATTGATCGACGGCGCATCTGGGTGTAGAAATTCAAGGCGGTGGACGGGGAGCTTAGGTGGGTGTGCGCTCGAATGATGGCGTTACAGTCGAAAGATGAAGGGTTTGGGATGAGACTGAAAATCTTGGTGAGGTAGGCAATTGTGGCGTGGTTGGGGTGAGAGTGTGGAGAAATTGTGAAGGAGTGAAGGATTTGAGCGAGGAGGAAAGTGGGGTGGAGAGAGAAAAGGCCTCCGGTGATTGCCTGGGCATGGACTTGGTGGACTTGGGCGGAGGTTTTGCAGGTTTGTTTGAGTGTGGCTATGAGATTGGATGTTTGCATGCACCTAATTTGCATTTGGGGTTTTGTGATTCTTTTGTGGTCAAGTAGTCTTTGGTTGAGAGTTGGTTCATTTGGTTTTATATATTTACAAACAAAGGAGACTGTTGCATTCATTCACAAGAAAAAAATAGTTTTATAACAACTAATTATAAAACACAAGTGAAAAAAGAAAAGGGAGCAATCACAAGTTCACAACAGCTTAACAAATTAAATACTCCTTTTTCAATTTACTGAACAAGAATCAATCCACTCAAAACACAATTGATTTACAATTCGGGAAATCATCCATATGTATATTTTTCACTTTACAGCCTAAGACAAACAACATGCAGCCTCCCAAGAATAATTCTATCATATCAGACCCCTGTAGGGATGGTGAGACCAAAGGGACAAAGTTGTTGCCTCTCCTTAACACGTCGCACATGAATATCTTTGGACACAGAATATCGACTGCCTACCTCTTCCGAATCATTTTCTTCAGCAAGTTGCGAACAAAACGAATCCTCCTTAACATCCTCCTCTAATTCCTCATCCTCATCATCAAAGCCATCAATAAACGTGTGATTCAGCAGCATTCCACACGTGAACCTGAAAGATGGCTTCCTCACGAAACAACGCTTGATAAAGTCCTTAGCCTCCCTCGATATCCACTCCGGGATTTCTGGAATTTCCTGTCCTGCCCCTAACTTCTCCAGAATTTCCTCTTTCGTCCCTTCCCACGGCAATTTCCCGGTCAGCATCTCGAGCACGATGCACCCGACTGCCCAAACATCACAAGGCGCTTCCTGCACGCTGTCGGGGGACAAATACATGGGCGTGCTGCCTCTCCAGCACTCGCCCCCACCTAATTTCCTCTTCTTCCTCGAGTGCTCTTCTCCCCTCTTTGTAAGGCCAAAACCCCCAATTTTCGCTGTGAATTGGGCACCATCAATCTCGCTTCCTCCGGTGGTTTTTGGTACCAGTAAAATGTTGTCAGGCTTTAGATCGCAATGAACGTAACCAGCTTCGTGAACGTGGCTCAAACCTCTGAGAATAGACCGCGCGTGCATCTTCACCTCGATTTCCGGCAGCCCTCCGCCGCCCGATTGGGCGATTCTGTCGGCTAGGGTTCCACCGGAAGCGTACTCGAGCAGCAGATTGTACGCGATGGAGCCGTTGTCGCCTTGAGTCGTCTCGTCTCCGAAACAGTAGATGAGGTAGGGGCTCGCGCCTAGGTTGGCCATGACCTCCTTCTCCTTCTGCAGCGCGCACGAGGAGGAAGCGTCGGCGGACTTCACGGCCATCTCCGGCGGGAAACAGCTGTACTTCGGTCGGCGATTTTTGGCCTTGTAGACGCGGCCGGAGCTTTCTTTACCCAAAATCGGACCCCTGATCCACGAAATTCCATCTCCGTAGATGTTAGAACCCATCTGTGAAACTGAATCGCCTAATTTGACGGTCATCTCGTATGTTTTCGCAAGCAGTAGCAGCGCAAGCAAAGAACAGAAGCAGGAATGACGAAAGGTGAAAATAAGAAAACAAATAAGCAGCAGCAAAAGAAAAGGGAAGGCGGAGCAAATAATATATAGAATGGGATCACGAGCAGCAAACCAACAGACCTACAAAGAATTACCTTTTCCTTTTCGGATTAAGAGTTGAGACGACGCAGTGTAAGATTTTCCGTTGTTTGCGGAGCACTATAAACACGTTTTGGGTGATCAACCGATAAAACCCCAATTTAATTATCAATATTAATCAAAGTCTAACAAGGTCATTTGTGCAGTTATTTTATTTTAGGGTTTGTGTATTTATATCATTGTAGGGTTTTATAGTGTGGAACGTCGTATCAATTTCTTAAAACTTAATTTAAAAATAAAAAATAATTTTAAAGAATACCAAAAACTTAAATAGTTATATTCTAAATCATTATCAACCAATTAAAATTCTATTATTCTATAGATCCTTTAGTTAACGAGTTTAATCAAACTCGATTCGCCAACTCTCGAAAATAATTTTTTTTTCCCTAAAATTTGACTCATTATGGTTTGAATTTTGCTCGTGAGCATAGATAAATCAAGCTCGAGCTCGACTCGTTTACATCCTTGGTCACTAGTCAAAAGTCAATCAATACATCTATTTATAGATTAACTAATAGAAAATCTATTAGTTGATGTGATTGTTGAAGAAAAAATGTTTAATTGAAAAATGAAATTTTTTTATTATGTTAAATGAGATGATATAAAAAACAATAATAAATATTGATGTGATATAAACTCCAAAAAACAATAAATATTGACGTGATATAAAAATAATAAAACTCATTGGAGATTTTATACATACGTTTGAACTCTCAGCTAAAGGTTTACTTTGTTTCTTTAGCTTAGGTGAGGCGGTATGGTGTGACTGATTCTACATTACTGCATGGTAGATCAATTAATTAAAATAGCCGATTAAAAATAATTAATAACAAAAACATGATTGAAAAATAAAAATTTGTGTCCATGAAAACTGAAAAATATATATATATAAACGATATTAACATCATGAAATGAAATTATCAAATAAACAATTTGAAGTAACTGTATTCATAAAAATAAGAACAGATAAAGATAAATACAAGTATAGTAACAATTTTTTTTTGTTATAACGATATTTAAAAAAAAAAAGAAATATTAAAATACTTGTCCATAAAATAAAATATCTTTTTATAGTTAATTTCTTACTGAAATTTAATTGAGACTAAACAAATTATCAGCCCTCCCTATCTAAATACAATCCTCTCAACTAAATAACACCTAAATTGTGAAGATGCGCATCTGCATGCTGCATCTAAGGGGAGTAAAACTATCTGCAAAATATAATCATCAGTGAGTCTTCTATTAGGCAGACATATTATTTCTATTTACTTATTTTAATTAGAAAATATCATATACTTTTAAAAGTGATGTAAACAAAGTAGGAAATTAGACAAAATAACTACATTTTAATAGAAGCAACATTTTTGTTCTACTATATATGAATGTGAAATAGTTCATGTATGATTCCCTAGAACTGTATTTTGTAAAATTTGTTCTCAACGTTATTTTGTCCTTTTTTATTAGAAAAAGGTCCAATCCTAAAAAAAGGATTTAGGAAATTATACTATATCCATTCCAATTTTTTAATCATCAAGATCCAACAAATGTCATAAAATAAAAATCCACCCAATCAAAACTTGTTTAAAACACAAAACAAGTTGATTATTTGGTTATATACAACAGAAAACAGTATCTTGTAGCTCTTCAACGAAAATTGTTAGCTAGCTTTCTGTATGCTTTGATAGCGAAACGAGTAGCATCACACAAGATCACCTCACAATTTTATCTCGTGGTTTATCGTGGTTCAATTGGGTTTAAATGTTGGATTTCATATTGGTCTCACACAGCTTGAATTAACCATCAGCTAGTAACCCTTGTTTCCGCGAATACGAGCTCTCATGTCAACCTGGAATATAATGCGAAAAAAATGTTTAAGATTTAAAAAGTACAAGGAAATATACTTCTAGACAAATTTATAAAATATGCTCAGTAATAACCTGATAGTTATTGTGATTGTAGAAAATGCTCATTAACAAAATAAGCCGAGAAATGCAGAAACTATTCAAAAGCTACACATCAACTAATTGCAAAGAGTGCAAAATATGACCAATAAATTCTCCAAAATAAACATACTATAATATAAATTAAGCATCTTGTGCTAGTCATACTGCTGACTGTTGAATATGCAAAAGCTACAATTTTAGACAAAATCCATGTTTTGGCACGTGCATGACAGCAGTGAACGAGTCATAAAAAAATGGTTTGTTATAATCTTGTTCAGTGCACTGATATCCATTTATCATCTATAATTTTCAAGTATTGTTCTGTTTTTTCTTGCCCTTGATGTTTCCTTCACAAAAATCTGAGTTACTCAACATTAAATAAGTGCATAAAAGAAGTGTTGAAGCACCATAAGTCTTGTGACGATAAGTCAATATGTCCAACATTTACCTCGAGATGATTAAAACAGATATTGAAAAAAGAAAATCCAATACACAAGGAATGCACGATGTACTTCCATTTTGTCCTACTATTCTCAACATATGTAAGAACATTACTAAAACATCAATAAAACTTCATTTTTTTTTTTGTTTTTTTGTTTTTTTTCTAGAGAAGTAATTTTAAGTTTCTCATTAGCGCCATTGCCCACAGTACAGAATTAACTCTGGAAGAAACATTTATTCATATCCTAACCAAGTGTTTTGTGCTTGACATCTTTAACAGACACGAAAAGCTAGAGTATGGACAACTCTAGAATCAATTATTTGTTCCAGAAAATATTCAAGAGCCTGGGACTGAGCACTTGTTTCCTACTCCAAACATTACATTTGTTGAAGCAGCAAAGGAGAAAGTATAGAAATATGAAAGAAGTGCTCGTAATGTTCTCAAATTCAATTGCAAGAGACCAGTACTGCACAAGACACAAAGGTATTTCATGAACATTGTTCACAACATGCAAAGCACAGAGCACTATCTTAATTAAGAGCCATAATACTAGTCATGTCCAAAGATCAAAGCCAATAATCTTTAACCGAATTCAGGATTCATATAACAGTTTAACAACAAAGAACTACTTACTGTTCCTGAAACAAAGGGCACAGGTCAAATTAGCCTATAAAACAATAATTTCCACAAATTTCAAGAGAATGCAGCTTCCACAATGACCGAAGATATAGAGCTGCATAAGAATTTGACTCATACTGAAAACCTACACATCAAAGTTTCTTCTCATGACACAAGTAATGATATTTCCGATTTACTCCATCATTAAAATCATGAAACCAGATAAATGCAGAAAACAGTTGGAAGGGAAAACAAATTACGTGCCTGTCCTCTTTTGCAGTTGAAATACGTTTCTCTAAGCCCCACACACTCGCTTGAAATTTTTGGGCTCTTCTCTTTGGCACATTCTCTGTACGGACGGTTCTCAACCTACAACGATCCAGTCCGCCATGGATATTAGATACCAAGGAAAACGAAGAGCAAAAAAATTATTCCAACAAAAGATGAGCTCAAAATGTTTGTGCAATCCAATTTGAACAATAGCAAATAAGCTCAAAATCTCGAAATAATATAATTAGGAGAAAAAAGGAGGGAAGTGAAATAGTGTAAATTATATATACCTTAACACAGTCAGAATCGCTCAAGCATTTGACGAGCTCCATAGCCAGACCTTTGCAAGACTTCGCCATTTTTATGATTTCTGTCTCGTTCTTTTCTGGCTCTTTATAGTTCTATCGGCAAATTTAGTGGGTTTTTGTTATTTGGATTGTCAGTTTGATGTTTAATGGGCCTTTAGCTGACTTCTTCTTAGTTAACTATTTGGGTAGTGTTTTTTTGGTCTTAATTATCTTTGAAAAAATTACCTCATCACCAATCAAAACATAAAATATTGCATATATACTAATATAATCTTTTATTTGCAAACATATAATATCTTACATGAACATTCGGAAAATTTCTTTTAACCTCCCACAGTATGGTCGATTTTAGAGTTTGCCTTATGAACTTTTTCGCTTGATAATTTGTCTCCCATAATAATCGAAACTGACAATTGACTCCTCGATTGAAAACCCTAACATGGCACAATTTTTTAACTCCATTAACGATAAATTTTAAATTGTTCTTTAAAATTGATTGAGGGCTTTTAAAGCTCTTGACGAGACGAACAAAATGAAGTATGATTTGTTCATTTATGAAAATTAATACCTGTGTAATCAATCGACGAAGATAGTAAGAGCACGTGTAAGATAGAAAAATATTCAATTCAAATTTTCTGATAATCAAGATATTCGATTTCAATTGAGAAGTGTCATTTGTAGGGGTGTTCACGGTCCGGATTGATCTGGTTTTAGCCCAAACCATAACCAAACCGGACCTAACGGTTAATTTTTTTTTTCTTGTCCATAACCGGACCGGTTTTATTTTTTAACCGACTACAATCCGGACCGCATTGGACGGTCCGGTTTGGCAGTTAACCGGTTAAATCCAAAATCCTTGTTTTGGGCCTTCAATTTTTATTTTTTTTCATTTTGGGGTTAATTTTTATTTTTCAATTTTGGGCCCAAAAGAGATTATTTGGCCTAAAAATTAAGAAAAACAACAATAATGAAATAAAAAATACACAATTCGTCTCATAAGTATAAAAAAACACATTTCGTCCCATAAACATAAAAATACAAAAATGATGAAGATTAAATTATGCAAACTGAACCCAAGCAAACATTCATTTTTCAGTCAGTCTATACACTTGAAATAGTAAGAGCAAAGCATTTATAGTGAATGTATTGTATTTGTCGGCCATAGTGAATGACTGAATGTATATATATATATATATATATATATATATTTGTTATAGTGTTTTAATATTTATCAATCCGGTCTGG